ATATATATATATATATATATATATATATATATATATATATATTTATTTTTATTTATATTTATATTTATTTTTATTGTTTTTTATATATTTATGCACTTATTTTTATATATTTATGTATTTCTTACATTCCAAATTCAGGGTCTTTGTATAGAAATAAATATAAATATAAATATAAATATAAATATAAATATAAATATAAATATAAATATAAATATATATTATAAATATAAATATAAATATAAATATAAATATAAATATAAATATAAATATAAATATAAATATAAATACAAATATAAATATAAATATAAATATAAATATAAATATAAATATAAATATAAATATAAATATAAATATAAACATAAACACAAATATAAATATAAACAGAAATATCTATTCTTTTTCATTCGTATAAACGCAAATATATTTATATTTTTTCACGCATTTATTAAAACTTATATATATAAATACATTAATATTTATTTATATTTATTTATTTATTTATTTTTTTTTTTATTTTATAAATTTCTTACATTCCAAAACTCTGGATCTCTGTTAGGATCACACAGATGAGCGGCGTGCTGATATATAGCCCGGGATCTATCCACCTCGCCCAGTTGTCGCTCAACAAAAGCATACCGCATGCATACATTTCGTACCTAAAAAAAAACAAATAAATTTAATTTATTTAGTTGTTTTTAGTTGTTTTTATATGTTTATTAAACACATACACACAAAGCTATACCTATACAAAAAAAAAAGAAAAAAAATAAACACAAAATGCATAAAAATATATATAACAAATAAATAAATAAATAAAATAAATTAATATATAGATAAAATAAATAAAATAAGTAAGTAAATAAACAAAACAGATAAACAAATAAAATAAATAAAATAAATAAATAAATAAAATAAATGAAAATAACTAACTAAACAAATAAAGTAACTAAACAGATAAGTAACTAAACAAAACAAAAAAACAAAAGAATAAAAAAATAAAAAAAAATAAAAAAAATAAAAAAATAAAAAAAATAAATTTATTTTTTCTCACGTCCTTTGGGGGCAGAGTTTCGATTGCCTCTTCAAATATTTTGCGGGTCCTTGCGACACCGAAAAGTTCACT